ATGCTATAATAATAACATGACAAGTATATATTACTTTCTAATTTTTTTAGATAATATATTACTTTCTAGTATATTGTTCCCAAGGATTATCATCTCAATTAGTATGATATAAAATTATTAGTTATTTAAAAAGAATAATTAATTATGATTTAGATAATGACAAATGATTATTTAATCAGTTGGATTTTAAACATTTGTATAATCAATTATATTAATTACTTTGTTTTCTCAATTGCTCAAGAAAATATATATTTTATTTATTCATTAATTATATAAATCAATAAAATTCATATAAAGAAAATCATGTGACTAGGAGAGCTTATAAATCATCAAGTAGAGGATTAAACTTGCTCTCGAATGATTCTAATTTGTCTGGGGGAGACATACAAATCAATGGTAGAAGGTCAACCTTGGCTCTTTGGAAGGTCTAAAATGACAGTCTTATGCTTTTGGTTTCAAAACTACTAAACTCCATAATATGCATAAGTTGCTTGGTGCAAAAGTTCTTACATGTCAAAAACACATGCTTTTACCATTTTTATAGTAAACATAAATCTCTTAACTTCATAACAAATATGCTTACCTTATAGAGGTCAACTGGCCTCTCTACATTTTTAACTTCTACCTCCACTTCATCTTCTTTGTCAGCAAAATCTTTGTTTATTTCCGCAGCAGCAGGTTGCATAACAAGAAATGAATCTTTATTTGAAGAACCAGTCTCTTCCAACCCTGTGGCTTTGAAAGAATCTGGCATGAATAGAAGAGAATCCATTTTGCTTCTAATCCGAGGAGCAGGTGGTGGCTACAGAACAGCAGATTATATTTTTAAGTCAATATTATTCCAGGAATCACTTAGAAACAAGTATATTTAGGGCAGGAAAATGTGTGCACTTATCACCTAATAACAGTCATCTGGAGAAAGTGTAGTGAGTCGCTAACAAAAGTTGCCAGTGAGCACAAAGAGAAACAAGAAAATAGAGAGACACGTGACAGGTGATTAGACCAAGTGGATAACTAATCTACAAAAGCATGGATTGGGAATACGTAAAGAAGTTTTAAAAAAACTGAATCCCCAACAAACAAAGGAAAGTAGAAATCTAAATAATAGAGCTCTTTAGATCAGAGAAGGAGACTCGATGTGGTCTTTAACCAATAGCATTATAATAGGGAAACAAAAAAAGAAAGCACATTTTCCCAGTTTTCAACTATTAAAGACAAGAAAGGGCCAACCATTAAAAAATGAAAACAGCAGTCGAACAAAGCACTTTGAAGAGTACCTTCCCCAGGTAAGGATCAATTAGATCAAAACGCTTGCATAAAAGGGGTGAGGGGCGCCATTGAAACTCCTCCCTTTTTGGGTACATTTTCTTCAGCAGCAAATTTTCACTTTGAGTATCTTTAGTTTTCTGTCATTGAAAATTTAGTAGAAAACCTAAGTTCCCAGAAAAACAATAAGAAACTAAAACTTTACCATCCTAAACACACCTCTAGTCCACCAGAAGTGAACTGCAATTCACCAATGGCAGAAGATTCCAAAGACTGCTTGGTAGAATGTTTGCCATCCTTGTACAATTTCCCTTTCTCTATTGCCTCAGCTGCAGCCTCAAAGTCCAATCTCTCACGAGCACGAGCAGCTTCTGACATATAATTAGCTCCCCCAGAATCAGTTGAGCGAAGTCCTCCTTCATACTTTTGCTTGAGAAATTGTTCAAATCTTTCTTGCTTTGCAGGATCATCTTTGAAGGGATTTGCAATTTCTGATGATTCCATCTATATTTATAAAAAGAAATGATCGGATAAGGGAGAGACAGAACCACAACATTAGCTTTAATAAGGCAGTGGAGCTTGAGAAAAGGACCATAAGAGCAGGGGAAGATAACACCAATCTTGAGTCTCACCACAACTAAACACAAATATTTTCACAGATAGGACTTCTATCCCTTGACTAACTGTGTTAATTGTCTTATCAATTGACACATGCCATCATAGGTTGATAGGACATCATTTACATACTCTGTCCAGTGAACTATTATAAAAGAGAAGTAATTGCTTCAAGTACACTTCCATAGAGCCTCCTCCCCTTAGTTAAATTAGCTCAGAAGAGCATGGCTTTCACTTTTTTTTAACAGAAAAAGAAGTATTATCAAGATGAAAATGAACTAAATACAAGAGCATAGAATAAGATAGTCTCCTCAAATCTTTTATAAGAAGAAGCTTTCAGTTTCTTACAAGCTGAAATTGTATGCATTAACATTATTTTGCTTTTCGGAAAGTAATCTCTTGATTAAATTCTAAACCCTAAACCTAAAATCACCATGTTGTGGACAGAACTAGAGATTTCAACTCGGTTTCTGAAATAAACAGCAGAATCGCTTCATTAAATTATTATATATAATGTTCGCTGACTTACTAATAGTCTACGAGAAAGTCTCTACTCAACTAATTAGCAAAGGTTCTCACATTCTCTAGGCAACAAAACACCGTCAATCATATAAAAGCATTTACAATTACCAAGTAAAGAGAAAAACAATGGAGAAGAGAGCAGAAACCGTAATGGAATCTCCATAATTTTGCCTTCCTCTTCCATTGCAAACCATATGATGTTAAAAAGGTTTTTCAGTATCTTTCGGATATCATCAACAGCACTATTAGAGTGTCAGAGTCTGTTTATTCTTTGGATTTCTTCCGAATTCTAAAATAAGGTTGAAAATTCCAACATGGATATTTGAATTGAAGTGTCATTGTGGTCAAACCCTGAGGATTAAGAGCATATTCATCCTTTCACCAAATATAAAATCCAAAGAATTAGCAGGTAGATTCCACATAATTTCTACCACCGGGAATTCAAGATTTCTAAAGAAAAGTGGGAAAAGAAGTTTCAATACTCACAATTGATGCAGGTTTTGTAAATGTTTCAGAGAGATTAGATTGAAAATGAACAGCACCCGACAAACTTTCTCTTGAGCTTTTCTCCAGAGGCCTTTCCCCCAGTAATTTGCCACGGCTATCTACAGTCATCTTCTGCACACTTGAAGACAAATTTTTGTCATTAAATACCCGTTTGGTATGATCGTTATGCTTCTGCTGCTCCTCCCAAAGCTTTCTCACATAATATTCATGGCCATTTCCACCATTAAGAAAACCAAATAATGGATTTGATTGATTCTTCTCTCTTGAAAGGTCCTCGAACAATTTACCACAACGAGCCACTAAAGTTGCAACCCCCTCAATTAATAGTTTCAGATTGCTATCCTCAGGAGGAGGAACCTCTGGAGGAGGGGTTGCAAGCCTACTATCAGTCTCAACAGGACCAGAAAATTTATGGTAAGCAACAAAATCTTTCAAAATCACTGGGGGATCATATCTGAAAAATCATGACAAAAGAATTGTATGATCAAGAGATATACTCAACAACAGAAGAACCAGTTTACCAGAAGTGTGATCTACAAAAACATTCTAGAGTGAGGAAATAAGCACTTTTACAAATTTTCTCATCCTGTCACTTTTAAGCAGATAACCATGCAAGGAAAAGAAATTTTAGTCTTCCAAGGTAATAAGAAAATTTTATGAACTTGTATGCTATCAGCCATCTCCAGTTACCTTTCTAACTGGTAATCAGACTTTGATGCAACCCTAAACCCAGGCAGAACGCTCTGATCTTTTACGAGCAACTTTCGCTCATTGTCTGCACTCAACCTTGATGACTCTTCAACTTCTTCAACATAAGTTTCCTCGAAGTTATAACCTAAAAAACAGCCATGTTTAGGAAGGAGAATCAGACCCTTTGCATCAAAATTAGAAATAAGTAGACATAACCTGAACATTGGCCACAATTTTTTTATTTTTTTATTTTCAAAGAAAAGTAGAAATAAATATTAGAAAGATAGGTAAACTACCACAGAAACAATGACTTCCTACTGCAGTAGGAAGAGCCAAGAAATAATTTCAAAGTACTCATAAATGATGATAATTATGATCAAACAGCGTATTGAAGGGACGAACAATACACCATACAACTACAAAGAAATCGAACAGCTGGGAGCAGATGGAATGCCAACCTAGACCACACAAACTTACTCTAAATGGAAAAAATGACACATAACCTTCTTGCACAAAATACACAAAGGAAAAGAAGAAGATTGTTGACTTGTAGCTCATATTTAGTGCGATTTGTTCGATAAAAAATATATATATTATTGTTAGGGAGAAAAGATATCAGTAATCCTCCAAACCAAAAATAAGAACAAAGAAAGAACTAAGATCAACAGAAAACTTCCACGTAATTTCTTTGCAAAAGAGCCAAACAGATACCCCTACAATGCCCTTACGCCTAACCCAAAGAGGTGTCCAAAAGGTCATCCAATCCCAATGAAGCAGAAGATAGAAAATCATCCTTAGAAATCCTAGCACTCCCCTCCAACTACAGCACCCACAAGGCCACAAAACAGTGAGAGCCTCTCTAAGGTAGCCCATTCTCCTTATTCTTCCCAACACCTCAGAGTGGAGAGGAGGTAAAACACTCTAGGGATGGGGGAGAGACCCACCAAAGAACAAAATATCAAACAACCTAGCCAATGCTCAAAACACAGCAAAAAGGAAAATAATGACTACAGGACTCATGCATCCATTAGGACATAACACAAATTTATGAAGAAAGAACATGGTAAGGCCTGTGAACTATTTTTGGGCCTTTTTTTGTGCTTTTTATTATGAGCTATTCTGTAATTTTTTTAGCTTCCTCCTTCCTCTATATAAAGGAAAACCCTCGTTATAAGGAGATATCCAAGATTGAAAAAAGAAATTACAAGAGGTTATGTGGGATTGGAATGAGCCAGACCACAATAAAGATTCTCTTGTGTTCTTTCTCTACCTATCTTGCTTTTTCTTTAATTTGTGTGTGCTACTAATAATTTTCTTCAAAATTTTCATAAATATCTTTTCATAAAAGAAGAAATAGTATCCAAGAGAGAGAGAGAACTGTTACAAACGAGACTGAGAGGATAAGGCATCTTCAGATCTGAAATAAAAAGATGAAAAAGTAACAAAAGTCATCATGAAAAAATAGACTCGATCACTTAACGTCATCCCTAAAGGAAGCAGCGAGATTTGTCCAAAGAGAAGTAAAGAAGATCGTCCTATCCTAAACCATGTGAGGCAATTAATTGATGTCATGAGTTAAATATGAAATTGAGGGTTATCCTTCCACAGGAAATTACATTTATCCAGGGGAACAGGAGATAGGGGAAAATGAGAAGGAGAAGTAAATGCAAAGGAACTAGCTGACCCAAATGTCAACTGATCAGAACAGTTTTCCCCCAACAGCATCACAAATGCAATCACTGTCTCATAAGGAGCCGTAAATCTTAATTATGTATGGTATTACTACCACCAGAGATGTTATACGGTGTTAACACTAAATAAAAAATACTAACCAGAGGCATAGACATCCTCATCTTCGGCATCAAGTTCTTCAAGTGCTCCAATACCAAAACCCGGAGCAACCTTTCCTGCTGATGAATTCAAACAAATTAGTTACATCAATCTCATTAATACTAAATGCAAACTGAATACCAATCAGAGAATCGAGTGAGAATATATCAATGCATATAGAATTATTTTTAAAAAAAGTCTATTCATATAGACTGTGTAACAGCAAAGTGGAGGGGGGAAAAGGATTCATCAGAAAATGGATCTTACAGTTGAAACCAAAAAGGTTATCTTTTAAAGATGAAGCTTTCCCATGGCCCGGCTGCCTACTGGCTGACATCCGCAACTTTTTTTTCTCTGAAAGTAAACAACAGTTAGAAGCAGGTGGGCTGATAGCAACCAAGAAAGTTATGATGTGAGATAGTCTACTAGATCGCCAAAGCTACTTACCCCTGAACTCAGGAGCATGCTTAAAAGGATCATATCCCAAACCATGCATATCCTGCTTTGGGTTGAGCACATATACCTGCAGTGCAGTAGAAGAGGAAGTCGTTACAATTTTCAAAACATTGACAAGATCTGAAAATCCATTCATTTACAAATGGTAGCAAGATCTTCAGCAGCGCACATTTTAAAGCCATTTTGAATATGGAATAGGGAAACAATCATCAACTGTTATAAATAAAGTTACAACAAATTACTGGTCCCTCCATAATGTAATCTGATTTAGTAGAAAACAATCAAAGGTCAAATCAAAAGAGAATACCGGGGCCATAATATATGAATGGTAACAAAAAAATTACTCACAGGAGTATTTTGAGAAGAATGAACATCATCATTAACAGCATGCCCAACAGAACTTTCAATGTCATCATCAACAGGCACAGAGGGCTGGACTTTTGTATCATCAGTGGAAAAAGCTAGGAAAGCTTTTCTGGCTTCTCTACGAGTATCTACAAACAAATTACGAAGATAAAGGCAGAAAATTTCTCTAAGTTGAATGACACAAAAAAGAACTAAAAAAACAAATGGGTAGTATATTTGCAAGTGTTAAAAGATTTCAATCAAACAGATACTATGCGTCTCTTTCATCACTGAAAACACCAAAAAAGGACCCAAAGTGTCATATTTTAAATAATTAATGAACCACGATTTGGTAAATAATTATTTTCAAGCTCAGGAAAGATCCTACAAAATATATGTTTTAATTAAGTGAAATGGGGAAGGGGATTAATTTTCTTTTATTAAAGGAGAGATGATTCATGAAGCCAACTCCAACTGCTTTTGCTGGATTAAGGCTTAACTGACTTCAGTTGGATTTCGTTATAAATCACTATTGAAACAGTTATTGTTTCAAAGACTATATCTTACTTATTATATCTACAAGCACACAGCAACATTTTGCACATCAATTCTAGCTTCTATGCTCTAGCACCAAATAAAGGACTCTTTTTCTCCTTCTCAGATGGAAAAGAACTTCCTTAAATAGTATGCAAATACAAATTAACATTTAAATAAACATGCAGCTGGAAATCAGATGAAATATAAAAATCAAAGTGGATGGGTACTAGATACCATGTAAGGAATTAGCATGCAAATCCTTGAGGGAACGACCACGCCGCCATCCCATCTTCAGAAGTAGTTTGACGCCTAAAAAGGAGGAGCAAGGAGTGGGCAAGAGTTCCTTAATTTGCATTTAGAAATAATGCAAGGAAAGAACTGAAAAGAAAAGAAGATGTTGCAAAACTGCATATGATAAATTCAAACTAACCAATTGAATCTGTAACAGGAAGAACTAGCTCATCAGGGACAGGTCCTGGAATCACCGATGGTCTGTGGTAGAGATAACAAATCACAAATAGTCGATAAAAGATGCACATAATAATATCCACAATAGGTGAAAAAAGAAAATTTCAAGAAAAAATATCCTTGCAAATGAGATAAAGCGGGTTATAAATATAGAATATCTAATATTTAAGCAAAAAAATTTAATATAACAAGAACAACAGAACTTTAAGATGCATGTTTATCGAAGAAAACACAGTCAAAGGGTGGAAATATATGCAACAGACGTGCACGGTAAAAGTAAAGAAGAGATGATAAATTTTTTCAAAAAAAAAAAGCTTATGAATGGTAATCAAGATGATGACAGCCAACATGCAGTATACTAATGGATATTAATATTCTAGACAATCTTAGGAACCTAGTTCTATTTTCACAGACACTACAAAAAATACAAAGGAGAAAGTTCTAAGAAACACCCAGCCAAATTCTCCCTCTCAAAATATTCTCTCTCAGAAAGAAAGGGCCCAACAAATAATCTGGCTGGACTACCATCAATGTAGCATATTATCTTTTAGTTTCATGCAAATTAGAGAATCAAATAGAACTAGACATTACTAAAGT